GTAGTTGCTGAGATTTATAGTTCACCTACAATCAAAAAGCATTCTGAACTCCACCAACAATAGAATTGGGTCAAACTTCCCATACAGAACCCCAATGATGAACAGAAAATACTGGAGGGATTTGGGATGAACTGACAGTGATTTAGGGGAGATGTAGTTCACCTACATCCAGAAGGCACTATGAATCCAAACGACTATGATAAAGGGATTCCTAAGACCATCAGAAATATGTGTTTTTTGATGGTCTATAATATAATATAATTATTATATTATAATATATTATATTATACTATATTTTTATTTGAAACACAAAATTAGTACATAGCAAAAAATGGTTGTTATTATTACATTTTCCCAGATTCGTTCAAAAGGGCATTATTCCAGTTTTTATATATATATCCCTGCCTGAGAGTATTGTTTACGTAATGGCGCTCGTTTATCATCGATCTCCATTTTCCGCAAACCTGATCGCAAAAACATTTTGGCATATTTTTGGCCAAGTTCTTATCCTTCGGATTAGCTGTCTCTTTGGAAAATCCAAACAAGATTATTTCTGGTTCAAAAGGAGATATATATATATATATATATATATATGAAATATTGTGTATATTCTATAATAATCCTGGCTCTCCGTCACCTTGTTTCCCCGAAAAGGGGATTTTCGTAGCACAAAACTGGCTTGGGGTGGATCACGTCCCTCCTCCTGCAGTTGGGAGTTGTAGTTTTGCCCTTTTGGGCAGAGAAGGCGAAGAGTTGGGTGAGACCCCAAGGGCTATCTAATCTGACCACTGTGCAGGAAGGCACCATCAAAGATCTCCCGACAGATGGCCATCTGAGCTCTGAATCATAGAATCCTAGAATTGGAAGGGAACCCCAAAGGCCATCCAGTCCAACATCCTGCCAGAGATACAATCAAAGCCCTCCTGACAGATAGCCATCCGAGCTCTGAATCATAGAATCCTAGAGTTGGAAGAGACCCCAATGGGCCATCCAGTCCAACTCCATAAAGACACCATCAAAGCTTTCCCGACAGATGGTCATCCAGCCTCTGAATCATAGTTGGAAGGGACTCCAATGGGCTATCCAGTCCAACTCCGTTTTGCCATAAAGATACAATCAAAGCCCTCCTGACAGATGGTCATCCAGCCTCTGAATCATAGAATCCTAGAGATGGAAGGGAACCTCAAAGGCCATCCATTCCAACTCCATTTTGCAATAAAGACACTACCAAAGCCCTCCCGAGAGATGGCCATCCAAGCTCTAAATCATAGAATCCTAGAGTTAGAAGGGCCATCCAGTCCAACTCCATTTTGTCATAAAGACACTACCAAAGCCCTCCTGAGAGATGGCCATCCAAGCTCTGAATCATAGAATCCTAGAGTTGGAAGAGACCCCAATGGGCCATCCAGTCCAACTCAATTTTGCCATAAAAACACCATCAAAGCCCTCCCGACAGATGCCCATTCAGCCTCTGAATCACAGAATCCTAGAGTTGGAAGGGAACCCCAATGGGATATCCAATCCAACTCCATTCTGCCATAAAGACACAATCAAAGCCCTCCCGAAAGATGGCCATCCAAGCTCTGAATCACAGAACCCTAGAACTGGAAGGGAACCCCAAAGGCCATCTAGTCCATCCTGCCAGAGACACCATCAAAGCCCTCCCGACAGATGGTCATCCAAGCACTGAATCATAGAATCCTAGAGTTGGAAGAGACTCCAATGGGCCAAAGCCCTCCCGACAGATGGTCATCCAGCCTCTGAATCATAGTTGGAAGGGACCCCAATAGGCCATCCAGCCCAACTCCATTTTGTCATAAAGACACCACCGAAGCCCTCCCGACAGATGGTCATCCAGCGTCCGAATCATAGAATCCTAGAGTTGGAAGAGACTCCCAAAGGACAATCAAAGCATCATTATATTTATATTATAATACTATATTAATTTTATATTATTGTATTAGCAATACATTATTATTATTATTATATTTATTAATATAATATTAAGATAGTATTATAATATGAATATAATAATGTTTTGACGCTTTGCCAAAATACGATTCCTAGGATCCCAGTGAGCTACGGCAGTTTAAGTGGTACCAAATTGCATTAATTCTGCAGTGTGGATGCACCCACGGTTGAATACATTGGCGCCGCTGCCTCTCTTCCACCCAGGCTGCTCCGGACCCGGCTTTGCAAAACTCAGCTTCTCGGGATTTCATGCGCAATGCCCTTTTTTGGCTGAAATATGCGCCCTTTTTGGGACCTCTCAATGCTCTGACTTCGTTGCCCAGCTGGGACGCGTCTCAAGACACTCAGGACGATAACATTGACGAGGGCAGAGGGGAAGCATTTCTTTTCTTTGGACTACAAATCCCTCCTGACGTTTCTCCCCCGTCCACGGCAGGCATCCTCAGAGGTTGTGAGGTCTGTTGGGGTTTATATATTAGCGTTAAATGGCCTTGCAGCTTCAAAGCCTGGCTGCTTCCTGCCTGGAAGAATCGTTCGCTGGCGAACTGCAACAGTCACACTTGCCTCCAACAAAGCAGAGTTACGTCAGGAGGAAATGCTTCTGGAACATGGCCAGACAGCCTGGAAAACTTACCGAAATCCAAAATCCGGGAAAGCGGAGTTGTAGTTTTACAAGGTCAAAGTGCTGGCCTTCAACAAACTACAAATCCCAGGAGACCATTGCATTAAAGTGGTAGAATGGGGTTGGTCTGCATGGCTTTTAGGGACCCTTCCGACCTTGTGATTCATCCTCTGGAGATTTTTTATTTTAAGCATATGCTGGATGGCCATCTACAGGGAGTGCTTTGCTGGTGTCTTCTTGTCTGGTAGGATCGGGTTGGATTGGATGGCCTTTGGAGGCCTCTTCCAAGGATCGTTCCTATGGTTGTTATTGCCATTGTTATCAGCAAAGTCAGCAGCCGGGAGCCATGGCAATGGTTGCACATGTAACACGCCAAGCACACGGGTTTCCCGGCCAACTCCTGAGTAATCCCATTGTTTGGGGGTGACTCACCTTCTCGCGGCTTGGGCTGCAGCCGGCCAGGAGGACAGAGAGAGTCAGCGAAAAGCCAGCCAAGGAAAACCTGGAAAGACAAACAAGACAGCCTTCGCGTTGGTTTGGTTATTGTTATTGTCCACACTGCAGAATTAACCCAGTTTGATGCCACTTACACTGCCCATAGCTCAATGTTATGGGATCCTAGGAGTTGTAGTTTGACAAAGCCAGTATTAGTATTCATATTGTAATATAAATATAATAATTAAATATAATAGTATAGTAATCATAGTAGTAATCATAATATAATAATATAATATGGTATTAATATAATAATATAGTATCAATATTAAAATATAATATAGGTATTAGCAAAATAATATAATATCTATATAATAATAATAATAATAATAATAATAATAATAATGGTGATTGGCACACTGGGTGCAGTGCCTAAAGACCTTGGCTTGCACTTAAAAACAATCAGCGTCGTGAAAATTTCCATCTGTCAGCTGCAAATGGCACACATTATTTGCCCATACATCTCACAGTCCTAGACATTTGGGAAGTGTCCAACATGTGATCAAATACAAAGGCCAGCATCGTGATCTGGTTTTCTGTGTACCAATCTTGGTTTGTATATAATAATAATAATAATAATAATAATAATAATAATAATAATAATAATAATGGTCTGCAAAGACTCTGGCATAAGCCAGTCAAGGTGGTCCCAGTAGTGATTGGCACACTGGGTGCAGCGCCTAAAGACCTTGGCCTGCACTTAAAAACAATTGGCATCGACAAAATTACCACCTGTAGGCTGCAAAAGGCCACCTTACTGGGATTTGGCGGCATTACATAGTCTTGGGAAGTGTCCGACGTGTGATCCAATACTATAGCCAGCAGAGTGATCTTGTTTGCCGTGGACTCAAATAATAATAATAATAATAATAATAATAATAATAATAATAATAATTTAATTATATAATTATAATCATTTGCTGTGCTGTGACTCATCTTGTTGTGTATCAAATAATAATAATAATAATAATAATAATAATATAATTATATAATTATAATCATTTGCTGTGCCGTGGACTCATCTTGTTGTGTTTCAAATAATAATAATAATTATTATTATTAATTATTATTTATTATTATTATTATTATTATTATATAATTATAATCATTTGCTGTGCCGTGGGCTCATCTTGTTGTGTATCAAATAATAATAATAATAATAATTTAATTATTTAGTTATAATTGTTTGGTGTGACATACTGTGTTTTTCTGCCAGTATAATAATAATAATAATAATAATAATAATAATAATAATCTAATAATATAATTATAATCATTTAATAATAATAATAATAATCAAATAACAATAATCAAATAATAATAATAATAATTTAATTATATAATTATAATCATTAGCTGTACTGTGGACTCACCTCTTTGTGTATCTAATAATAATAATAATAATAATAATAATGACAATAATAATAATTTAATTATATAAGTATAATCGTTTTCTGTGACATACTGTGTTTTTGTGTCAATAAAATAATAATAATAATAATTTAATTATATAATTATAAGCATTTGCTGTGCTGTTGACTCATCTTGTTGTGTATCTAATAATAATAATAATAATAATAATTTAATTATATAATTATAATCATTTGCTGTGCCGTTGGACTCATCTTGTTTTGTATCAAATAATAATAATAATAATAATAATAATAATAATAATAATTTAATTATATAATTGCAATAATGAACGGTCAGCATGTCCATCTCTGGCCAAAGGGCATCTTGTCCCCTCCCTCCTCTTTGGAGAAGCCTGGCTTGAAGGTGTCACAACGAAGCCGTTCCAGATTGTTGTGTTGTTTCACATTCCTTTCCTCTTGGACAGTTGTTTTCTGTCCTCACATATTGCGCACCCCGCCCTGCATCCCACCCCCCAAATCCCAAAAGCTCTCCAAGGGTCTCATTATTATTCCTTTCTTGGTGCACAACAGCCAAGCAGGCATTTGGCATACAGAGAGTAATAATTTGCATTACTATTATTGCCCCCGTTGGTGCAGCGGTTTAAACCGCTGAGCTGCTGAACTTGCTGACCGAAAGGTTGGCGGTCCGAATCCAGGGAGCAGGGGGAGCTCCTGCTGTTATCCCCAGCTTCTGCCAACCTAGCAGTTCCAAAACATGCAATGTGAGTAGCTCCATAGGTGATGGAGTTTCAAAGGGTTTAACCTGGCATGATGAGAGTTGTAGTTCACCCAGAATGTGATGCATTTCACACCATTAAAGACTGAATTTTTCAAATAACCTGGGACCCAAACTAATAATTTAAATAAAAAATATAATAAATTCTGATCAGAAGTGAAAATTGAATATACTGTCATAATAATATTATATCAAGTCAATAGAGTCCACGGTATAGTATATTATTATTATTATTATTATTATTATTATTATTATTATTATTATTATTGATTTCAAGCAAATCTCAAACCGGGAAGAGCATTGTTATATTATTATTATTATTATTATTATTATTATTATTATTATTATTATTATTTGAAGCAAAACAAGATGAGTACACAGCAAACAAGATGAGTATGCTGGTTGTTGTATTGGATTGTGTTTAAGTGCAGGCCAAGGTCTTTAGGCGCTGCACCCAGTGTGCCGATCACCACTGGGACCACTTTGTGCCAGAGTCTTTGCAGTTTGCATTATTAAGTGCAGGCCAAAGTCTTTAGGTGCTGCACCCAGTGTGCCAATCACCACTGGGATCACTTTGAATGGTTTGTGCCAGAGTCTTTGCAGTTTGTATTATTGTTGTTGTTGTTGTTGCAGTTTGCATTATTGTTGTTGTTGTTGTTTTCGTATGTACATAACAACACAGCACACGTGCACATTAGGTCCAAGCGTCTGGGATTCATCCTTGACCAGCTTGTTCCAGAGTCTTTGCAGTTTGCATTATTAAGTGCAGGCCAAGGTCTTTAGGCGCTGCACCCAGTGTGCTGATCACCACTGGGACCACCTTGACCAGCTTGTGCCAGAGTCTTTGCAGTTTGCATTATTAAGTGCATACCAAGGTCTTTAGGTGCTGCACCCACTGTGTCGATCACCATTGGGACCACCTTGATCGGCTTGTTCCAGAGTCTTTGCAGTTTGCATTATTAAGTGCAGGCCAAGGCCTTTAGGCACTGCACCTAGTGTGCCGATCACCACTGGGACCACCTTGACCGGCTTGTGCCAGAGTCTTTGCAGTTTGATTATTAAGTGCAGGCCAAAGTCTTTAGGCGCTGCACCCAGTGTGCCGATCACCACTGAGACCACCTTGACTGGCTTGTGCCAGAGTCTTTGCAGTTTGCATTGTTATTGTTGTTGTTGTTGTTGTATGTACATAACAACACAGCACACATGCACATTAAGTCCGAGTGTCTGGGTTCATCCCAATGACCAACAGAAAATACTGGAGGGGGCTGGGAGGAATTGACAATGATTTACGGGAGATGTAGTTCACCTACATATGGAGAGTGCTGTGAACACAAACAACTGTACATTTGGACCCAACTTGGCACAAATACTCAATATGCCCAAATTTGAACACTTTGCGACCCCCCGAAAATGGCCCAACGACCCCGCTGGGGGTCGCAACCCCCACGTTGAGAACCGCTGTACTATATGATTATAATTATTCTTGTCGTATGTACATAACAACACAGCACACTGTTGTTGTTTTTGTATGTACATAACACAGCACACGTGTACATTAGGTCCAAGCGTCTGGGATTCATTTCTGAATATCGGGCTCTTCACAAGGGCCTAGGGTATTAGAGGCTCTTGTTGTTGTTGTTGTTGTTGTTATTCTAGAGTGTAGAATATAGTTAACTGCTTAGGAAATGCCCTTTTCTGGTTAGCAAAGGTAGTTTAGAAGCTGGATGGCCATCTGTTGGGAGGGCTGAGATGGTGCTTCCCATTATGACCCCATAGAATGGGGTTGGACTAGATGGACTTTTGGGACCCCGTCAAACTCTAGGTTTCTATGATTCAGAAACTGGATGGCCATCTATCGGGAGGGCTTAGATGGTGCCTCCTATTATGTCAGAATGGGGTTGGACTAGATGGCCTTTTGGGACCCCCTCAAACTCTAGTATTCTGATTCAGAAACTGGATGGCCATCTGTCAGGAGGGCTTTGATGG